TCCCCTCCTCCTTGCTTCTATAGCACCCTCTATAGCATCTGTCACACTACACTGAGCTGCCATTTCTCTCTATGGACTGTGGACAGCTTCCTCTGTGTCCTGGGCCTAGAGTGGAACCTGGTAACAAGTAAGCATTTCATAAATGTCTGTTGACCTGAATTTACTCAGTGGATGTCAGAACTGGAAAGGGACTTCAGTGACTATGACTGTTCACATTTGCAATAGGCTTTCATCTCTAAAAGCCCTTTCACAGTGATTATTTTATTTACTTCTCTGAGATTGATATCATCCCCATAGTTAAGGAAACTGAGGTTCAGATAAGTTGTGTCTTTTTCAAGTTCACTCAGCCACAAAGTGACTAGGCCGGGATTTGACCTCAGGTCTGACTCAAGGCTCTTTCTATCACTTCTCAGATCGTCTGACTCAAACTCAAATATGACCACAAGGACACTGAGGCCAGGAGAAGTAAATTGCTGGCGTAGGGTCATGCAGTTTGTATCCCATTCTGTGTTCTTTCCTCAAACAGGAAATGCCCAGGAAGGTGATGGGGTGAGGATCAGGTCCTGGGCTGGGAGGGAGTGCTGCCTGTGTCACCATCCATTGTCTCCTCCCCATTTGTCACAACCTGAATGTTTAAATTTTGTATTTAGTATTTACTCTGAAATGGCTTTCATCTGATTTCCCCCTTGCCCACCAATTTAGCTGTCAAAGTAAATAAATGTGAAGTTGGGTCTCCAGCCTCCCCCAGCTCACATTACCTTCCTAGAATTACTCCCCAGCAGGGCGGAACCACTGCTGGGGGCCTCCCATGGAATTATCCAGTTACTAATGAAACCTCTTTTTAAACACAAACCTTGAACTTAGACTCAAATGGGGGAAGATGGCAAGATTCACCTCAGAGGACCAGGTGACCACATCCTATTTAGTGACCAGGGCAAGGATTGAAGTGAGAACAAGATGCCAGTATGTGTGCAGGATGCTTAAGACATTATATGTGTAGGGTGCTTAATACAGCTTTAGAGATGAACACATAAATAAAGCTACATTTTTTTAAATGCTAGTTTTTAATGTATGGGTTGTCATCCTAATAATGAGTGGTAAATATTGGTATTCCCATTTTGCAAGTAAGGAGTGGAGGCTCCAAGAAGCAAGGTGACTTGCTCACAGTCTCTCACAGGAAGACATTGAATATCCAGACATACTAAATTTGCTACTCCTAATTTTGCCAAGTTTGCTCCTATTTGGACACTTTTTCTGCTGGAATCAGAAGTTGTTGGAAGAGAGATTTCTTTTCCAAAGTAAATGCATTTCTGTCCTGTTTGACGTCAGATGAGCCCTAGGCTCAAATAATGGTTCTGCAGTAAGTTATTCAGGAGAACATTTGGTTGATTTATGCTCTGCCATACAGATGCCACAAGGAATTTGATGTGGAATCTAGTAGGATTACGAGAAAATTCAGCCAGTCCATGCCATAATGATGGCTACTGTTTATTGGTTGCTTACTGTTGTGTCAGACAAAGTTCTGAGTCCTTTTGAATGAATTGTTTGCATAATTTCTACAACCATAGGAAGTGGACTCTGCTATCATCCTCACTTTGCAGATGAGGAAACTGAGGTTGAACACGTGACTGAAGAACCTGTCCAGGATTACTCAAGAAATATGGGCAGTGACAACACTGACATCCAAGGCAGTCTGGCCCCAGAATCTTTGTGTTTTGCTATTGACGTTACTGCCTCTCATTCCAGTTTTGATTACCTGAGCACTTAATCAGAACTCAGGAGCAGAATTGCATAGTAGGTAAGAGTTGAGGTTCTGGAATCTGTGTGTCAGAACTCAAAATGGGGCTCCTGTAAGCTTGTTTTCTTAACTATAAAAGAAAAATAATAATATAACCTCTTTGTAGGGTTGCTGTGAGGATTAAAGAGGATAGTACGGTAAAATACAGTACTTGGCATATAAATGCTCAATAAATGGTGGCTGTATTGTTATTATTATCATCACTCAGGCAGCACATGCTTCACATTTCTCCTCATTAGAGTGCAACAGCCTGTTTGCTCAGTTTCTGAGTCTTTGAAGTCACCTCTCTACTGGAAATTCTTTCTTCTCTCCCCTGGTCCCATCCAAATCTCACCTGCCCTTTAGTTTCAGCTCAAGCCCTCCACCCCCTACCCCTCTTGCTTAAGAAGTTTTACAAAACCAGGTTAACCTTCACAGTCTTCTTTCCTAGAGTCTGTCTGCACACACACATCCAACATACGTGTAGCATTCTGTAACATTTATTGACTTCCTGATTCTCCCAGCCACACAGAGGGAAGGAGGCGAAGGAGATAAAGAAGGTCCTGTCATTATTTCCATTTTGCAGATGAGAAAACAGGCTAAGTCCTGTTTAAGTGGTGAGGTTAGGAGTCATATCCAGATCTTTTGACAGCTCATGTGAAAGCGTGTGTGCACATGTGTGCAGAGAGTAGACATGGTCAAATGTTTAGCTTACAAACCAAGAATATGAGTTCAAATGTCAGATGAATCTGGTTTTGGGTTCTTGGCTCTGGTAATTATTAGCCATGTGCCACCATTTTGGACATATCATATGAACTCTCAGAACCTCAGTTTCTTCATCAGTAAAATGGGCACCCTGAGAGATGCTACCTCACAGGATTATTGGGAAAAGAAAATGAGATCATGAGTATCATGCCTAGCACTGATTAAAGGTACCTAGAAGAAGTCATAGCTGAGATTATTCTATGAAAATGAAAGGTGTGAGGAGGAGGTGGTTACCTGTTTATAGTCATGTTTCACCTCACCTGCTTTCACAATGCAATCTGTTCTCCCAGTACAAAATATTAGGGTTCAGAAAGAAATTATTGTAGTTCTGAATTTCCGTGTCTGAGAACAATAAATGACTGAAATGGAGAGGGTGGGAGATGCCATTAGCTGAGACCGTTGCTGTGTAATGTGACGCAGTGAAGGAACAGATATTTGTATCTTTGAGGGACACAGGCGTGGGTCTTAATATTATGTTAGTGTGCAGACATCCTTGACAATCTGAGTCTGTCAGACATGCATGTATATGTGCAGACTGAGGCTGTATCTATTGGGAATCCTATGTGCGCAGAAGTAGATAAAGTCATTTCTGCTTGTAAATGCCTATACATGGTTATTTTGCCATCTGTAAGGATGTGGGTACATATTTGGGGGTGTTTGAGTAGGGGGCATAAGGTTATACATGGATTTGGTGCTCTGTGAAAGTCTGCTCTCTTGGATGGGTGTACAAGTGTAAGCGCAATTGTGTGTGGAGTGTTTACATCTGAAAATGTGGCAATTATGGAGGTGATGATATGTGTGATGCGTGGGGGTGGTCTGTCGTGGTGTCTATAAGGGCTGGATCTAGGTCTGAGTGTGCAGTTTTGTTTTTAGAAAAATATATATATTTACATGCGTCTCTTTATGCTCAGTTTGAGTGTGGAGAAGGGGGCTGAGGTTCTGAGTGTCCACTTGTGTATACCTGCGGGGTTTTAGTGTGGATAAGGCTCTGACTCTGAGTTTGAAGGTTCTGTGTCTTTGTGTTTGGAGACTGTGTCTCCTGTCTAAATGCCTTCCCCACCACTCTTATTGTCAGTAGAACCCTAGAGAGATGGGCATTAGACTGTGTGGTTAAGCAAATCCTGAAGGGGAGGAGATGTCCCAAGCAATCCTTCCCAAGAGAATTCAGGGGAACTACCCTTCCCTCCTGCCAACACCCTCCTCCCTCCCATCCCAATCCCACTGAGTCCTTAGTAGCTGGTGCACTCTGGCTGTGATGGAGCAGAGGTATCTGTGCAGGTGTGTGAGGGTACGTGTGGGTGCCTTGTGCCGGTGCAAACGATGTGAACGGTAGCAATTTGCATCAGTATGTGCACAAATGTACCAGGCATGGGGTTGCCTCAACACATATAACGTATGACCTTCTACGGAATCCGTCTCCGCCGATGTTGTGGTCATGGGCCCCTCTTGTCCCTACGAGTGGGGCAGTGTCTGAGGAAGGTGGGTGCCCCTTGAGTGGGGGGCGGTAGTGAGAGCCGTGTGGATGTGTGTCCGCTGGTGTCTTTGTGTGTCAGCGTGTCTCTGAGTCTTTCCATCAGCAGTCTGAGTTTCGGTGTGTCTCTGTCTCTGTGTCTGTGTGCGTATGCCTCTGAGTCTCTGCCTCGTTGTGTGTGTCTTGCTCTCCCTTGGCGGGGAGGGGATTGGTCACGCATGACTCATCTTGAACCGAGCGGGGCTCCAGCGGCAGGGCGGCCGCCGCCGCAGCTGGAG